CGGACAACTGGCGTGACCGGGGAGCTTGCAGTGAGCGAGATCGTGCACTGCCTCACAGGCCTGAGGGCGCACGAGATGCGAGACACCTGCTCAATTTAATAAACAATTAATAGAATAAGATAAAAATAAGAAATAAATAAATAAATAAAACACTGCAGATACGACTTGAATCGAGGGCTGCATATCTGTGGTATCAGATGGGTTTTTTGCCTTTGGAACTGGCACTTCTACTCTTGATACTCTGGCAATTTTCATGTTTGGTTAAGTTTTCCTTTCTTTTATTGTTGTTTTTAAATTTTAATTTATTTTTCTTTTGAGATGGAGTCGTCCCTCTGTACCCAGACTGAAGTGCAGTGGTGGATCAATGCCGGTGGCTCAAAACTCTAGGTTCAAGTGATCCTCCCTGGCTCATAGGTTGATTGCAAGTGTGAGCACCTGGCTTTTTTTTTTGTTTTTTTTTGTACCAAGTCTTGCTCTGTCTCCCATGCTGGAGTTGCATGGGCATCTGTCTCACTGTAACTTCTGCTCCCAGGTTAAGCAATTTCTCTGTCTTAGACAACAGGTAGCTGTGATGCTGGGGATGGCCTCCATCCTCCATAAAGTTCACACTAGGGGTGTGGCAGTCTTGGTCTTTAGGGTATTATAGGCGTGCACCACTATTGTCGGCTATTTTGTTTGCCTCAGCCTCCCAAGTAGCTGTGACTACAGGTGCCCACCACCACGCCCAGCTAATTTTTTGTATTTTTTTAGTAGAGACGGGGCTTCACCGTGTTATCCAGGATGGTCTCGAGCTCTTGCCTTGTGCAGATTTTAGAATCTGGAGAAATGTCCCCTAAACTGTTAACAGTCATTATCGTCTCTGGGGGCTGAGGCTCGAAGGCTGAGATGACCAGGAGCTTCCACCTTCTGGATTATTGATTTTCTTTTCTTTCCTTCTTCTTCTTTTTTTTTTTTTTTCTTTTTTTTGAGACAGTCTTGCTCTGTTACCCAGGCTGGAGTGCAGTGGTGTGATCTCTGCTCACTGCAACCTCCCCCTCCCAGGCTCAAGTGATTCTCCTGCCTCAGCCTGCTGAATAGCTGAGACTATAGGCACCCACCACCATACCCTGCTAATTCTTGTGTTTTAGTAGAGACGGGGTTTCACCACGTTGGCCAGGCTGGTCTCGAACTCCTGACCTCAAGTGATCCACCTGCCTCGGACTCCCAAAGTGCTGGGATTACAGGCAGGAGCCACCTCACCCGGCCTGGATTGTTGGGTTTTATCACAGTCTGTGTATATCATCCTGGAAAGTGGAACAAAACATTGGAGACTTAGGAGACCCTAAATATTTCTTTTCATTTATTTATGTTTTTAATAAAAAATACCTGTGCAGGCTGGTTTGGAACTCCCGGGCCCAAGGGATCCTCCCACTTCGGCCTCCCAAGGTGCTGGGATTACAGGCATGAGCCACCGCAGCTGGCCCCCAAATAAATTAACCAAAGCTGAATTCACTTATTTTGTCTCGTCAATAATTCTAGGTCATCGGTATCACTGTTAACACCATTTGGGCAGGAAAATCACAGCTCATGGAAACGTGTGCCCTAGTCGTAGAGCTAGAAAGTAGCTTGGCCAGGCTGGGCACAGTGGCTCACACCTGTAATCCCAGCACTTTGGGAGGCTGAGGCGGGCAGATCGCTTGAGCTCAGGAGTTCGAGACCAGTCTGGGTGACATAGTGAGACCCTGTCCCTTTTGTTAAAAAAAAGAAAGAAAGAAAATGAAAGTGGTTTGGTCAGGTTGGAACTCGGGCCTAACTGACTCCAAAACCCCACTTAAAGCTGGGCTCAGGCCAGGCGCGGTGGCTAAAGCCTGTAATCCCAGCACTTTGGGAGGCCGAGACGGGTGGATCACGAGGTCAGGAGATCGAGACCATCCTGGCTAACACAGTGAAACCCCATCTCTACTAAAAAATACAAAAAACTAGCCGGGCGAGGTGGCGGGTGCCTGTAGTCCCAGCTACTCGGGAGGCTGAGGCAGGAGAATGGCATCAACCCAGGAGGCGGAGCTTGCAGTGAGCTGAGATCCAGCCACTGCACTCCAGCCTGGGCGACAGAGCGAGACTCCGTCTCAAAAAAAAAAAAAAGAATCCTGAGGCTGGAAAACAATGCTGGGATGGATTGGTGATGTCTGCCTTGGGCATGCAATGGAAGAAAGTGACCTTGCCTCCCCCAAAACTGTGCCCCGCCCAGTGCTGTTGGAATAAGAATGGGGGCAAGTATCATGGTGTGGCTCCTATTTATCAAGCAACTGCCCATGCCAGGGACTGCTGTATGCATTTCAGGGGTATTTTCTCCTAGTGAATGAACATCTAGAAGATGCGACCTCCTGTTTGTTTTCAGGAGACCATACTCAGGAAGAGCCTGACTCCCTCTTGGAAGTGCCTGTGAGCTTCCCGCTATTCCTACAGCACCACTTCCGCCGGCACCTCTGCTTCTCTGCGGCCACCAGGGAGGCACAGCATGCCTGGAGGCTGGCCCTGCAGGGTGGCATCCGGCTTCGGGGCACAGGTGGGTCTCAGGACGGGTCAGACATTTGTGAGGCTAATGGTCTGGGGTCAGACAGCTCAGCCTCTGTTGGCTTGGGACCTCTTCAGGCCTCACTTTCCTTACCCAGAAAATGGATTGTTAGGCCAGGTGTGGTGGTTCATGCCTGTAATTCTAGCACTTTGGGAGGCCAAGGCAGGCAGATCACCCGATGTCAGGAGTTCTAGACAAGCCTGGACAACATGGCAGAATCCTGTCTCTACTAAAAATAGAAAAATTAGCTGGGCATGGTGGAAGGCACCTGTAATCCCAGCCACCTGGGAGGCTGAGGCAGGAGAATCACTTGAACCTGGGAGGTGGAGACTGCAGTGAGCCAAGATCGAGCCACTGCACTCCAGCCTGGGCGACAAGAGCAAAACTCCATCACACACACACACACACACACACACACACACACACACACACAGAGAGAGAGAGAGACAGAAAGAAAAGAAAATGGGTTGTTGGGGGAGCCGGAAGGAACACCAGGCAGTTGTGAGTGACTAGGGCTGTTAACAGAGACACACAGGGTTCTATGGGAGCTCAGCCTGGGGGATGGGGGTTAGAGCAGGCTTCCCAGATGAGGGGAAGCTGGGGTCTGTAAAAGATGAGGGGCCAGCTGCCGGGCACGGTGGCTCATGCCTGTAATCCCAGCACTTTGAGAGGCTGAGGTGGGAGTATCACGAGGTCAAGAGATCGAGACCATCCTGGCTAACATGGTGAAACTCCGTCTCTACTAAAAATACAAAAAATTAGCCAGGCATGCTGGCAGGTGCCTGTAGTCCCAGCTACTCGGGAGGCTGAGGCAGGAGAATGGTGTGAACCCAGGAGGCAGAGAGCTTGTAGTGAGCCGAGATTGCGCCACTGCACTCCAGCCTGGGTGACAGCCTCCGTCTCAAAAAAAAAAAAAAAAAAAATGAGGGGCCAGCCAGGTGAAGAAGGGGAATAGGTCAGGCATAGTGGCTCACGCCTGTAATCCCAACTTCCAACTTGACACCAAGAGTTCAAGACCAGCCTAGGCAACATGGCAAAACTCCATCTCTACAAAAAATACAAAAATTATCTGGGCGTGGTGGCATGCACTTGTGGTCTCAGCTACTCAGGAGGCTGAGGTGAGAGGATCACTTGAGCCTTGGACTTGGAGGCTGCAGTGAGCTATGATCATGCTGCCACACTTCAGCCTGAGCAACAGAGAGACCCCCCATTTGAGAGAGAGAGAGAGAGAAGAAAAGAAAACAAAGAAAAAGAAATGAAGGAAGGAAAAAGAAAAGAAAGAGAAGGAAAAGCAAGAAAGAGAGAGAGAGAGGAAGGAAGAAAGGAAGGGAAAGAGAAAGAAAAATGTAGGGGAGCAGCAGGACTGACACACACAGTTGGGCAGGTTGTTGACCTCACAAACGATGCAACTAGAGGAGCAGCTAGTGGCTGCAGTATGTATGGCCTGAACTGCAGGTCAAGGGACTGTGGCTGCCAGTAGAGGATTCCTTCTAAGTTGAATAAAGTTGGTGGTCCTGGGGGAATGTGTTCCCTGTGGACGGCACTGCCTATGCAAAGTTCCAGAGATGGGTAAGACTTGGGTGTTGGGGACCTGGCCAGGCAGAGGGCTTCCTCCCCGGGCCATGGGGAGCCAGGCAGGGAAGCCAGGCAGGGGAGCTACCAGCAGGCACTGAGGAGCAGCCTCTCTCAGTCCTGCAGCGAAGCCAGGCCCCTGCTGCCCGGGCCTTCCTGGACGCCGTCCGACTCTACCGGCAGCACCAAGGCCACTTTGGCGACGACGACGTGACCCTAGGCTCAGACGCCGAGGTTAGTGCCCCGCGAGGCCGCACCCGGGACCCCCAGGCCCCCTCCCGGCCGAACGCGGCGCCCATGGCCCCCTCTCCCGCAGGTGCTGACCGCGGTGCTGATGCGGGAGCAACTTCCCGCGCTGCGAGCCGAGACCCTTCCTGGCCTGCGGGGGTCAGGCCGCGCCCGTGCCTGGGCCTGGACCGAGGTTTGCCCTGTGTCCGGACCCGGGACAGGGGGCGGGATCCGGGCGCTCGGGTTCCCCTCCCACGACTGTCGCCTAAACTCTCTCCTGGTCTCTCTGACCCCCATCCCCGCCCCGTGTCTCGGCTCTGTCCCGCACTCCTATCCTGCGTGGGGACCCCTCGACCGGTCTGGGCAGCTTCTAGACGCCGTTCACGCAGCTGTCCTGGCCGGGGCCTCCGCCGGGCTCCGCGCCTTCCAGCCGGAAAAGGACGAGCTGCTTGCATCCCTGGAGAAGACGATCCGCCCAGACGTGGACCAGCTACTGAGGCAGCGGGCGCGTGTGGCGGGACGACTGCGGAGTGAGACCCGGGGGCGGGACCTGGGCTGGGAGGGGCGAGGCAATGCTGGGGAAAAAGGGGCGTGACCTAAGCGAATAATGGGCTAGGCCTTGTGTGAAATAAGGGGCGTGGTCAGAGAGGAGCTGGGCCAAGCATAGGGAAGGGAAAGGGTGGGGAAGGGGCGAGACCTAGGCGAGACAGTGGGCGTGGTCTTTGTGGGCGAGGCGCTGGGGGCGGGGCCTAGAGTCTATCCCGAGGACACCAGGTCCTGAGGGGGCTGCGTGGATACAAAAAGGGAGGGGCCTCAGCGGGGGATAGGCGTGGCCTTGAGGCTGAGGCTGCAGGAGTTGAGGCCCTAAGCCGGGCCAAAGCGAGTGGGCTGGCCTGGGAAGTAGAACAGCGGAGGAGGGGCAGGGGTAAAGGCTGATACATGGGCAGGGTGGGCCAAGGTGGCCCCTACAAAGACCCAGGTGGGAATCCTGACTCGGCCCGCCCCTCCGAGGCTGTTTTCTCATCATCACAATGGGTAGAAGAGGGCGCTCAGCGTCCCTGCTCGCGTCCCCCTCGCCCTACTGAACTAGGGCCCCTGCACATCCCCATCTGTGAGGCACCTTGCGGAGGGGACTCCAGACCAGTGTCTTCCACTCCCAGCGGATATCAGGGGACCGCTCGAGTCGTGCCTGCGCCGGGAGGTGGACCCGCAGCTGCCCCGGGTCGTGCAGACCCTGCTGCGCACCGTGGAAGCGTCGCTCGAGGCGGTGCGGACCCTCCTGGTTCAAGGCATGGACCGACTGTCCCGCCGCCTGCGCCAGAGCCCCTCGGGCACGCGGCTGCGCAGGGAGGTGAGCTCCCGTGGGTAGGGGTTCAGTGAGCCAGAGGGTGATGTGTTAATTTGAATCTTTCCTGTTGAAAATCTTCTCTGAATTTGTTCTAGGCTGCTTTTTACTTATTGTGGACCCATCACCATGCTATGGTCATTGGAGCACAGTTGTTTGTTTTTTGTTTTTGAGACAGGGTGTCGCTCTATCACCTTGGCTGGAGTGCAGTGGCACAATCTTTTTTTTTTTTTTTTTTTTTGAGGCGGAGTCTCGCTCTGTCCCCCTGGCTGGAGTGCAGTGGCGCGATCTCGGCTCACTGCAAGCTCCGCCTCCCAGGTTCCCGCCATTCTCCTACCTCAGCCTCCCGAGTAGCTGGGACTACAGGCGCCCGCCACCGTGCCCGGCTAATTTTTTATATTCTTAGTAGAGACAGGGTTTCACTGTGGTCTCGATCTCCTGACCTTGTGATCCGCCCGCCTCGGCCTCCCAAAGTGCTGGGATTACAGGCGTGAGCCACCGCGCCCGGCCAACAGTGGCACAATCTTAGCTCACTGCAGCCTTGACCTCCTGGGCTTAATCGATTCTCTTACCTTAGCCTCCCAAGTAGCTGGAAATACAGGTCCACGCCACCATGCCTAGCTAATTTTTTAATTTTTTTGTAGAGATGGTGGTCTTGCTTTGTTGCCCAGGCTGGTCTCAAACTCCTGGGCTCAAACGATCTGCCTGTCTTGGCCTCCCAAAGTGCTGGGATTAAGGCGTGAGCCACAACACTGGCCGTGGAGCACAGTTTAAAACGTGAGTCGAAAGGAGTTGGATGAGAAGAGTGGCAATGTAGCAAAATCAGTCTGAGGTCATCCCCCCAAACTCCTCCTCCCATTCCCCTTAATCGATTCTCTTACCTTAGCCTCCCAAGTAGCTGGGACTACAGGCGTCCGCCACCACGCCTGGCTAATTTTTTTTTTTGTATTTTTTAGTAGAGACGGGGTTTCACCATGTTAGCCAGGATGGTCTCGATCTCCTGACCTCGTGATCCGCCCGTCTCGGCCTCCCAAAATGCAGGGATTACAGACTTGAACCACCACGCCCAGCCACTGTGGGTGATTTCTATACTCTGTCTCCCCTAATTTGTAAGCAGAGACTGGGTTAGAGTATTCCATATCTGCAGCCCCAGGGCCCAGCATAGAGAGAACATGAGGTGGTATTCATAGATCCAGAGCCAGGAAATGTGCTCATTTCCTCTCAATTGTGCCAGCATCGCTTGTTATAGTTTTTTTAGGTTTTATCATTTTATGTCCATGACACCATGCCTTACTGCAACTTATTTTACTTTATTTTATTTTATTTTATTTTAGAGACAGAGTCTTATTCTGTCACCCAGGCTGAAGTGCAGTGGTGTGATCTTGGCTCACTGCAACCTCCCGGGTTCAAGCAATTCTCATGCCTCAGCCTCCTGAGTAGCTGGGAGTACAGGTGTACACCACCACACCTGGCTAATTTTTGTATTTTTAGTAGAGACGGGGTTTCACCATGTTGGCCAGGCTGGTATCGAACTCCTGACCTCAAGTGATCCACCTGCCTCGCCTCCCAAAGTGATGGGATTACAGGTATGAGCCACCACGCCTGGCCCACTGCTACTTTATTATGAGTTTCTTTGGTGACAACTGAGGTGGAATGTGTTTTCATTTGTATTTCTCCTTTGGTGAATCGGCTATGGGGTCCTTGGCCCTTTGCAATCAGCTGACGGCATTTTCCTCCCAAAACTGCTTCCGGGAGCACAGGTTTACTCATTTGGAGAGATGCCATGGGACTTGGCACTGATGCAGACATGCTACCGTGAGGCCGAACGGAGCCACGGGCGCTTGGGGCAGCTGGCAGCACCGTTTGGCTTTCTGGGGATGCAGAGCCTCGTGTTTGGGGCCCAAGATCTTGCACAGCAGGTGAGGGTGAGCAGGAGGCTGGGAGGAGGCCAGGCTGTGAAGACAGCCTCCACTGAACCCCCGCTAAATGTGTCCTAGAGAGACCACAGTAATTGAGACAACTCGGTGGGGCTGCCAGTCTCATGGGGACATGAGCCCGTGACCAGGCAGCAGCCACATGTGGTGGACAGAGCTGGGGCGGGACGTACAGAGAGAGCCAAGGATGTTCCTGATTCATCTCTGGGGTTGACAGGACTTTCAGGAGGAGGGGACTTCCAACATGGGACAGCAGTGGGAGGAATGGGGCTGCCACCAGTCCCAAGTGAATAGTGTTGAGAGCGCTTGTCTGCATTTGGGGAACGTGGAGCAATTTTTCAGAAATGGGGGAAGATAGGCCGATGAGATGGATGGGCAGATGGCACAGTGCCTTGAGTGTGGGGCTAAGGGGTGAGCTCTTTCCTGACGGCAATGGGGAGCCATTGCCAGAGCAGGTATATGAGCAGGGGGAGGGCATGGCTGGATTTAAGGTTTAGGAAGCTCGGCCGGGCGCGGTGGCTCAAGCCTGTAATCCCAGCACTTTGGGAGGCCGAGACGGGCGGATCACGAGGTCAGGAGATCGAGACCATCCTGGCTAACACAATGAAACCCCGTCTCTACTAAAAATACAAAAACATTAGCCGGGCGTGGTGGCGGCGCCTGTAGTCCCAGCTACTTGGGAGGCTGAGGCAGGAGAATGGCGGGAACCCGGGAGGCGGAGCTTGCAGTGAGCCGAGATCGCGCCACTGCACTCCAGCCTGGGCGACAGAGCGAGACTCTGCCTCAAAAAAAAAAAAAAAAAAAAAGGTTTAGGAAGCTCTGCTTGCCGTAGGGAGCACAGGCTGTTGGGGGCAGGAATAGAGGAGGCAGGGGGGAGGCCTGCACCAGGATGGGGGATGTCAGTGGGGAGAAGCAAGAAGTGTTTTGAAGTCTGAGGTGGGACCTGCTATTGGACATGGTGACAGAAGAAGACAGAGAGTGAGATGATCTAGTACCGCCTGGCACAGTTGTTCAGTTTGTGCACTGCACAAAAGTGCTCAACAGAGGAGGCTGAACTCTGGCTGGCTCTCTGGTCTCCATTCTAGGCACCCTGGCACCATCCCCCAGAGGGAGGGGGCTTTTTGCCAGTTTGCACATAGTCCCCCACAGACTAGACAATCCCCAGGTCCTGAGAGGAGGGAAAGGTGTTTCCTGGGACAAGGAGGAGGAGGTTGGGCAGAGGTGGCTGATTGGGGCAGGCTGGATGCTGAGAAGGGGTCAGCTGGGCTGGAGTGGGGCCCAGGAGGCTGGAGCACAGATTCTGGGCTCATCACGGCATCTCCTCCTACAGCTCATAGCTGACGCTGTGGCCACCTTCCTGCAGCTGGCTGACCAGTGTCTGACCATGGCCCTCAACTGTGACCAGGCTGCCCAGAGGCTGGAGAGAGTCAGGGGGCGCGTGCTGAAGGTGTGATCTGTGGGTACGGGGTGGCACGGGGTGGCAGTGGGCCTGGGTGCTCAGATGGTTGAACACTGAACAGAGGCGCCGCTGGGTATGTTGTGCAGAAATTCGAATCGGACAGCGGGCTGGCGCAGAGGAGGTTCATCCGAGGCTGGGGTCTCTGCATCTTTTTACCTTTTGTGCTGAGCCAGCTCGAGCCAAGCTGCAAAAAGGTGAGTTAATGGGAAGTGTGCAGGCAGGTCTGACAGCATCACCATTCATCCACGTAAAGTGGGCAAGAATTCTCTTTGAGGCCGGGCACGGTGGCTCACGCCTGTAATCCCAGCACTTTGGGAGGCCGAGGGCAGATCACAAGGTCAGGAGTTCAAGACTAGCCTGGCCAACATAGTGAAACCCCGTCTCTACTAAAAGTACGAAAAATTAGCCGGATGTGATGGCTGGCGCCTGTAATTCCAGCTACTCAGTAGGCTGAGGCAGGAAAATTACTTGAACCTGGGACGGGGAGGTTGCAATGTGCCAAGATCGTGCCATTGCACTCCAACCTGGGTGACAGAGTGAAACTCTGTGTCAAAAAAAAAAAAAAAAAGAAAAAAGAAAAAAGAAAAAAAGAATGCTCTTTGATCATTAGAGACCATTTGACCAGGTGCCGTGGCTCACGCCTTAATCCCAGCACTCTGGAAGGCCAAAGTAGGGGGATTGCTTGAGGCCAGGAGATCAGTCTGGACAACACAGTGAAATTCCATCTCTATAAAAATACAGAAGTTAGCCAGGCCTGGTGGCATGTGCCTGTGGTCCCAATTACTCCGGAGGCCAAGAGGTGGGAGGATCAATTGAGCCTAGGAAGTTGAGGCTGCAGTGAGCTAGGATCGCACCACTGTACTCCAGCCTGGGCAACAGAGCAAGGGCCTGTCTCAAAAAACGGGACTTCCACACCTTGAGCCCTGGAGCTGGGTCAGGTGGCTTTTCTGGGCTGCCACGATGCCCTCTGCTTCATCTATGACGGGGCTCATTACCCTGTGTCTGCCACGGAAGAGCTGGGATGGGTCCCATACATCACATATCACCAGGTGACATGGGCATCAGTGGAGGGAGGAGGCAGATGGAGAGTGTGGATAAGGGTTGGGTAGGGAGTTACCAGAGGGTTAGGAAGGATCTCCCTGTGAAATGAAGGCACGGGCCATGTCCCGGGAAGGACATTCCAGGCAGAGGGCACAGCATGTGCAAAGGCCCTGAGGCCTGACCGTGCCTGGTGTATTGGAGGAACAGTGACAAGGTGGGTGTGGCTGAAGCTCAGTGAGTGGGAGAGTGGGAAGGAGGTCGGGGGAGTCCTAGGTACCTGGGCACACAGGGCTCATGGGCACCAGGTGGGTGTCTGACATGGGTACAAACAGAATCCTCTAGAGGAAGTGGCTGGGAGTTGGGGAAGTCCCAGTTGAGACACTCGTACTATTCCCTGTGAGGTGTGATTTGCTGCGCCTAATTAATCCCATGAATCCTTTCCACAATGCTAGAGAATATGGGCCACTGAGTACATTTTAACGATAAGGAAACCGAGGCCAGGAGTGGTGGCACATGCCCGTAATACCAGCACTTTGGGATAGTGAGACCCCATCTACAAAAAATACAAGAATTCGCCGGGTGTGGTGGTGCACACCTGTAGTCCCAGCTACTTGGGAGGCTGAGGTGGGAGGATTGCTTGAGCCTGGGAGGTCGAGGCTGCAGTGAGTTGTGACTGCGCCACTGCACTCCAGCCTGGGTGACAGAGCGAGACTAATCATTTCATTTCATTTCATTTCATTTCGACAGAGTCTTGCTCTGTCATCCAGGCTGGAGTGCAGTGGTGTGATCTTGGCTCACTGCAACCTCCGCCTCCCAGGTTCAAGCGATTCTCTGGTCTCAGCCTCCCAAGTAGCTGAGATTACAGGCACCCGCCACCACGCCTAGTTAATTTTTGTGTTTTTAGTAGAGACGGGGTTTCACCATGTTGGTCAGGCTGGTCTTGAACTCCTGACCTCATGATCTGCCTGCCTCAGCCAACCAAAATGCTGGGATTACAGGCGTGAGCCACCGCGCCCGGCCTGTTTATTTTTAAAATAAAAAAAAAAATTAAAAATAAAGATAAGGAAACTGAGGCCCAACCCCTGCCCCCAACCCCACAGCTAATTGGGCCCAGGGCTAGGGCAGAAGCCTGTGTTGTAGGCCTCTAGAGGGGCCCTCCTCTCCAGCCGAGCCCTTAACCCAACATGGTTCCAGGAGCTTCCTGAGTTCGAGGGGGATGTCCTTGCCGTGGGCAGCCAGGCTCTGACCACTGAGGGCATCTATGAGGACGTCATCCGGGGGTGCTTGCTGCAGAGGATTGACCGAGGTGAGTCCTGCCCTGCTGTGGCTCAGAGGTGTCTGGCGTCCCCTGCCTGTATGTACTGAGCCCCACCAGGGCCCCATCGACTCTCACTTCCTGTGACTACTTGCCATTTGACCTTAAGTCAGGACTTGGCCAGAGGGGGTCCAGGGTAGAGGAGCTCAGAAGGGCAGGGATGGATACTCTCTGAAGGAAGGGCCATTGGATTGGGGCTGTGAGGGATGTATAGGAGTTCTCAGGATGAGAAGAAGGAGGCAGAGTTCAAAAACTACCAATACAGGCTGCGTGTGGCGGCTCACACCTGTAATCCCAGCACTTTGGGAGGCTGAGGTGGGCAGATCACTTGAGGTCAGGAGTTTAGACCAGCCTGCCCAATATGGTGAAACCCCATCTCTACTAAAAATATTAAAAAATAGGCGGGCATGATGGCACACACTTGTAGTCCCAGTTGCTCGGGAGGCTAAGGCAAGAGAATCGCTTGAACCCAGGAGGTGGAGGTTGCAATGAGCCAAGATTGCGCCACTGCACTGCAGTCTGGCGACACAGCGAGACTATGTCTTTAACAAACACAAAAACAAAATCAGTATGGGACAGGAGGCAGGAGTGTTAATTTTAAATTTTTCAATGCTGTGGCTCCTTCCAAACCAATTAAATCAGAATCTCTGGGAGACAGAACTTTGGACATTGTTTTTTTTTTTTTTTTT